ACATTACATTGAACTGGACATGGACAAACTTTCAAATACTTCAGTATATGGACAAGTAATCCCTGTAATCTATCCTGGGATGTAGCAGATGTTAATTGGATGGTATTTCCAAATACAGTCACAGAAACAAGCTAATTTTGTTTAGCTTTCTAAAAGTACAAAACAGTGGAATTTGAGGCCAGTATGAAGCTGAATTTTCATTGTGGAGCCAGAGCTACAAAATAGAAGCTGTAATATTATATCACTGACACTGGATGTCTTGTATTGATGACTGCTCCAAAGGCTAATGCTAGGCTAATGTGGCTAAATTAGCTTTCTCAACAATTGTATTGTGTGTATCTAGGCAGGCACTTATCCTACCGATAGATCCCCAAAATTGTACTGGAGTAACACAGTGTGTCCATCAAAGTATGAATTTTGTTTTAAGAATCAGAAATTTAATTTGTAATATGTTTAAGAGATGAACTGAGGAGCTGCAAATAGTACCAGTATAAGATACAAAGATTTGTTTTTTTAAACTGTTAGTAACATAAAACTGTTTCTGCATAGTTCCAAAATAAAGTGGGAATGAGCACAATAGGTCCCCTTTAGTTTCTGGAATTTTTGTGACCTTGTGCAGGAGTATGTAATGCACTACTCTACTCTACTCTAATACACTCTCACTCCACAAGCATACAGTCAGATACCGAGTTATTAGGCTGTGTTATAAATCACATGCAGCTGAACACAATGGGAGCACACAGGTCAGAGATGGCGCCACACAACTACTATGACTAAGTTAGCTTAGCAGCAGGTGGGCTAGTTGAAAACCTGCAACACCAAATCTGTATTGAGGTTTTGCAGACACGTGACCGCGAACCACACAACGTTAACTTGTCTGCCATTTTGGATGTGTGACAATCAAGGTGACAATGTAGGAGTAAGTGAGAAATGTCACACAGGCCTAGCCACCAGTTTGCAGCTATCTGGCAACCGAAAAAAAGGAGTATTTCTCATCTGGTTCCGAGTGCTTGCTGGAGGTTAATGGCAGACATTGGGAAAATGATTGCTAAAGACTCAATCAAACAGGCCAACAACATGGGTGAGTAATCCCTGGGTAACCACCTACTAGCGGAAAAATGTGTATTCCCTAGCTAGTTACTAGCCTATTGCTACAGTTGTAGTTTGAATGGAAGCTAGCTACTACTCTTCTAGCTGTAGCAAAACTGTGACAAGTGTGATGCAAGAACAGCTTTTACTTTGAAGTGTAAATGTGAACCTTCTTCTGGCTTCCTTGTACTTTGTCAAAATGATCTGCCGCTAAGCTAGTAGTTAATGAGTATTTCCAGCCAAACTTGAAAAACTAAAGGTGACTGTGGGAACCTGCTAGCAAACAAAGTTTTTGTTGCAGCATTGTCTTTGCAACCAATTTCACCCAGCAAGCACCAGCAACCTCGAGAAACCATTGCCATCCAGTTGGTGGAATATGCATTTTCCCCTATCAGTCCATGACTGTATCACATCCAGTATGATAGACAACTCTCAAGCAATGTGTGCATGACATCATGTGACAAACCCCAATATGCACAATCATGAAAATGTGCAACCTTTATTAAAAGGGCATGCAGACAGCGGAAAAGGTTATAAGTATTTCAAGAAGTCAAGTCATGAAATCCAAAACCAGTGAGCTGACTCCGCTGTCTAACTTAGATTTGAATGGAAATGTGAAAATCAGTAATTCTAATGGCTCAAGGATGGACAGCTGAAGACACATTTCAGACATTGTGAAACTTGAAAGGTGCAGGACTGGAGCAAAGCAAACATTTACTTGTGTCTTAATTCCTGAACATAAGGAGGGTAAACATTTGATTTGATTTACTCCAGACACCAACAGTTTTTGACCTATATTGGTTTGTTTCTGTTGCAAAGCTGCATGTTTCTTCCAGTTTGGCTTGATTAGCTGCTTTACCTCTAACACGTTAACCTGATCCGACGTGGGGGCACGTGAAATGGAAGCAGTTAAAGGCAAAAAAAATTGAACAAAATCCCCCAAATAAACAGAAGAGAAAGAGGCAAGTCCATTTCATATTGGGTTAAGGTGATGCGGTGGTTGCAGGAATCAGAGATCGTAAGTGGGGGTTCAAGGGGGTGAGTGGGTTAAAGTTGGGGTCAGGCTAGAATGTCGAATTGGCTTCGCCTGCTTCTCTGCTGTTCCCAAAACACACAGCTTGGTGGGCCATTTTTAGCCCCAGAAACAACACTGTGATGTTACGCTCCAACACCAAAAAATACTGGCATATAATAGCACAGTAAAACAAAAAGACTTGTTTTAGGAAGTAATGGCCATTTTTGCTCAGGAAGCTTTGAATGCAGCAGCATGTGGGGAGGGAGGCTTCATACCGCTTATGGTGAGAGCTGTGAGAGCTTACTGAGAAAACCTTAAAAAAGCTTGGTTTGTAAATGATATTGCTTTAGCAGATTAGTCATGAGATGGATGTTCAACATTCTAGTCTAATAAAAAACTGCATTATATATTAGCTTTTTACTAATTAATAATCATGAAATAACCAGTCAAAGATATTAATAGAAAAGCATTATGGAGCCATGTTTTTTGGTGATCACTAAGGGATGTAGTCTTTTTATTAAAAGCTCGTTAAAGCATAAAATGTTTTCTTTTTAACCCTTTGTTCAAAGCAAATCGAGCATCATCTTCTCTCAACAGCCCTGGTTTCACTTAAAAGTATAATGAAAAAGGTCACGACTCCACCCATATGAATACCAGAAGCCACACCTGGTTTAAGTTTGGTCAGTGTGCACTTCAAGGTCATCTCCTCGTGTACCTTTTGATCGCTTTCAGCAGCACTGGTCCCATTTCATATCCCATCTGAGTCCCATCTGACCAGTTGCAATTTCATTACACAAATTTAAACTGGAGGGTTAAGATACAGTTATGTGAAAGAGAAACCGTTTACCAGACTCTATGTGGTGTTGTTAGGAGCAGCTCATGATTTAGCAGCAATAACTTGAAGTAATAATTTTCTGTATGACTTCATCAGTCTCTCATATCACTGTGGAAACATTTTGGACCACTCTTTACAACATTCATGTCACAGTGCTAAAGTAAAGTCCAGGACCCCAGACAACAACCCCAAATACAAATTAGAACAAATGGGTTTGTGGTGCAGGAAGGTATTTATAGGAGTATGACTGGAAGGGGTGTGGTCCAGCTGGAAAAATTCACATAAATTACTTTCAGTTCACTCGTAAGTTCCCAAACAAATGATGGAAGTCCACTGCTAATAACACTAGCTTGGCCAGAGGTTGCAATTAGAGAATAGGCAGTGACTCCTGGGCCTGGCAGATGCACTGAATAGTGATGGCTGAGCTTGGAAGGTAGACGGGAGGAATCGTTATCTAATGTAACAAAATCGATGCCACTGGCAGCTGCCTCTGCCTTCTGATGGTTATGTCAACCAAGGCTAGGTTATCTAGTTCAATGACAATGGATCTCTTGATCAATCACAGAAGAGCCACAGTTACTGCAGATTAGATTTAATAACAACTGAAACTGACTGGAAAGAGTTTGAAGATACTGACTGAGTACCTGAGTGGACCTGCAGCTGCAAAAAAAGCCAAAATCATCACTCCTCCACCACTGTGCTTGATAATTGGAATGAGGTGGTTGTGTCAGTATGCCAAACATTGCACTGTGCATAGAGTCCGGTGAACTTTCTTTTTTCACATTACTGTATTAACACACTGGAAAATATCCCGATGCACCAAATAAAAGACAGAATGGAACTATCTCCGACCAATATCAACAGCGGAGTAGGAAATACTGTAACACTGCTCGAGGAGACCACCCTGAAGGGTAGACTCACCAAATTGAAATTAGGTATGGTATTTAATCTTTATTAAATACACCTGAGCTTTTGGCTAATTTTATGCAGCTAAACTTTTTTTTTTAAATCTTTAATTCATTGTTTGGTTCTCCACACATGTAGGTAACAGGATTTCTGTTGATTGCTGAAAAGAGCAGACTCAAAAGCAAAGACTTTAAACTCACTAATTTATCCATCAGTGTGTGTGTCCAGGTATGATGTTGTCTGAAAGGAGCTGCTTTATATATATATATCAGTTATTAATATATATGTGCTCACATAAACAAGGTGATGTGCTGAATACTAAGACAGAAGATGAGTATTTTGAAGATGTGGATAGTGCCCTATGTTAGGAGATGTTTTTTTGGGATCTCTTTCTTTTTTTAGGTGGGTTGCTAAAGCATATCAGGTGGAACAATGCTACATTCTCAGACTGTCCGCACAGAGGAGTTGTGACGGTACTACAGAAGGCAAATATTCATATGAATGCATATGAACTTATTTTTGGTTGCTTGGTTTCCTCTGTCACCCAGCTGCCCTGCTTGTCAGCAGATCTCCATCATCATGACAACATTCGCTTAAAGTCCAGCATCCTCTGTTGACAGGTCATGAGCCATGTGAGCATGTGATGGTGAGCTGAGTGGACAAAGTCAGGCGGTCAAAACAAAGAAAAAAAATACACAAGGATTAAAAAACAAAAACACACATACACAAAAAAAAACCAGAAAAGAAATGATAAAGTGTGTCTCTGAAACCCAACATCAACTCAAGGACCAATCCGGAAAGAAACCAGTAACAAAAAAAGGTGTTTGTTTGGTGTATGTAAAGGGCAAATTATAAAAATAAATCAGAGGAACTGATAAAGATGTTGGGGCAGATTAAATCTGGAGTGAGTTTTAAACAAGATCAAAGGGCCTTTGGGTGCCCATCACGGGGCGATTTAATCCACCCTGCAGAGATGATGGGAGGAGGTAGCAGGGATGGGTTCACGACCTCCTCAGGCATGGCCGCTGATCAGCACAGAGTTCAGGATACAGGAAGTGTGATACGCATGCCATCATCACATCAGCGTTGTGAGGATGTGAGCTAAGACTGCTCCAACAAATCTTAGAGTTAATTTAAGTAGTTGAAATGCTAAATGTTTATTGCACTGGATTTGTGGATAAGCTGAGAGACTTTGCGAGAATACACCTGTTTGGAGTTATGGTTTCAGTCTGAAACACATGACGGACTCGCGGTTGAGTTACTGATACATAGGGAGTCTGATGGAGCAGTCCATGCAGTGAGGAAATGTCGGGGGCATCCATCCCTGAGGAAGTGGGGAGGAGGAGGGTGGAGTTACATAAAACAGTACTGAGTGTTCAAAGAAGAAGGAACAAGGAAGAAAGCCCTTGTGCTGTGAAGGTTCAGAAAGGGCTTCTTTGCACGGCTGCCTTTACTTTTTTCTGTGTGATTTCTCTCTCCCTCCCTCCCAATCTGTCTCTGCCTCACTCGGCTGAGGGCTCAGGGTCCTCAAAGGACACCCTAGTGGACTCTCGGAAGTCGGGATGCTGCAGGTCCTTTAAGAATTTGGTGGGGGTGAGCATGTGGGTGGCACCTGTGGAGGAACAGAAGTGGCTTCACCACTCGTCTCACAGCACATGCCATGCCCCCGCCCTTCCTTCACTCGCTCTCTCCAGAAAACAAAAGGATCAAAAAACAAGCAACCTGTCATACAGAGCACACACACACACACACACACACACACACACACACACACACACACACACACACCAAGTAGCACAAACACAAATAAACTGGGAACACAGACACAGAGAAAGACATGGCGTGGCTGCAATTTAAAGACAACAGTTGTTTTTAAAGACAACAGCAGAAGCAGAGCACAACAAAAGACACTTTTAGTTAACATAACAATATAACACAGACTGGCTGGCAAAGCTTCAGGACATCAAATAAACAGTACACAGGAACATGACACAAAGGGGCTACTTTAACACAAAATGCTGCACACAATAATCTACCTGCTATCTGTAATTGCATCCTGCAAAAAAAGCTGCTGCAGTGTAAACCTGTCGATGGGAAATTTCTGTGACAGCAATGTGTGACGTGGGATGTATGTCGCCCTGTATGTGTGTGATGAAATGAGGTCTGCTGCGTTTATAAAACTTGAGCCTATATTTCTAAATTTCCATTTTGTTTCCACAGGCTGAAAAAAGTAAAAATACTGAAATGAAGCCCAAAATATGAAACCGCATTTAATGTTTCAGAAAACTACGTTTATTAGTCTATTCCAGTCAGATTTCCCTCTATACTCCAGACTTTGTTTCTCCGCCTGCCCATCTTTAATGTTTTTTAGCCACGTCCCAGGTCACAAGTCATCTGTGCCCATCAAAGACCACACACTGAATCTTCAGCCTCTCTTTAATCTGAATTAGGACGCAGCTTTTCCCACCTCTCGTGAAAACATGCCCACTCAGAGTCACACCCACTTTGTTTTCAAGGCGATGGATGTGTCTCTAACTTCCCACCCCAGCAGCCTACACTACCCTCTGCAACACTACTCACCAATGATGGCTTCCCACTTCCCATTGGCCTGTGTGACCTCATAGGCGCAGCGCATTTCGCTGAAAGACACGCCGCCGATAATGAATACCATGACACGTGGCCCAGTGCGGTACTCTCCGGGTGTCTTGTTCTTGTGCCAGTGGCCGTACCGAGCACTGCCGGAAAACAACAACACAACAATGAAAGTACAGTATTAATACATTCTTTTGTTACTTTATTTTTGTGAAAATGTACAAAAAGAGAAAAAAAAAGACAAGAAATTATTCACACAGCAAAAGGACAAGGCCATCAGTCACTTTGAAGTATTATCCCATAGTAAAGATAACAACAGAAAGCATAACTGAGTGGATCCCATCCTTATGCAAAGGGGGAGCAGTTCATTTTTGTCCACCATGTTTATTTAATCCTGCTCCTTTCTTTTTTAATACTCAGAAGGTCTTCATGAGTCTAATCCATAGATATAGCTCTCCAGGAAGCAGGGGAATCCAAAGTTTCATCCACAGACTGGTAGTTTATCCATTTTCCCCAGTACTTTTCAAACCTTACACTCACAAGTGTCAGAGAAAAAGGTCAACTGTTCCATTTCACAGATTTCATGAACTATTTTTATCCTCTCAGGGGTTGTTGAAGATTCTTTATTTAACCACGTCTTAGTTACTGCTTTCTTACTTGCACTTAATCATATGAACAAGTATCTGTCTTGTTTTTTGAGGTCAAGTGGAACATTCTGCTAATAAATAATACAAATATGTCTTTATCTCTGCTACCACATCAAACTAGTAAGAAAAAATCCCAGAAAATATGAACACGATCTGCACATATATTACCACACATTCGCCAACACTGCTCATTTTCAGGTATTTTACTCCATTTTATTCTTTTGGACAAAAAAACTTGGTGTGCTCTTCATGTCTTTATCCAGACCTCTTCTGATAGCTCTATGTTTGCTCCTTTCTCCCAGCTTGATTTAACACACATTGGACGAGACTTCTCTTCAATTATAAGATTAGGTAAATCCTAGATATTAGCTTTCTGGAAATATTATTTTCATTTACATCAAAAATGAATTTAATACTGTCCTTCCTCCCCTGTGGGCTTAATGTTTACAGAAAGTATTTGTATTTCAAATCAGGATAGGTAAATACTTCTGCTGTGAGGGAGGTGAAGTATAAGAAGTTATTCATAGTTAAAGAAAAGATAAGCGCTGGACTTTTACAATGTAGGACCAGAAAAGTTCTGGTAGTATTACTAGCATTAGTTAGGGTTGATTTGGATAAGCAGGAGTTGGTGGCCTGTAATTCAGCGTTAGGAGAGTGTTAGGAATGTGTTCACATGTTGGTGCCATAATCTACACGCCTCTGGCGGCCGTAAATAAACGCTGATTAGTGCATCCGATAGCTCAGCAACTATTTGGCATAATTTAACTCGAAGACATTCGAAGGATGGCTGAAGGGCAAAGGACCACAGTACCGTTTTGCCCTCCAGTGTCCCACTCGCTCTCCACCTCGTGCAATACAGTGAAATTTTAGAGATTTTCCACAGCAGGCAGGAACCTAACCAGACTAAGAAGAACACCGTGAGAGGATAATATTACTAGCTAGAATAAGAAAAACAAGAGTTGAGGTTTTAGAGCGAAGGAAGGGAATGAGCTGCAGACAAGTGGCTCGGTTTGTACCTGCATCACATCACACATAGGCAATTTATGTTCAGAGCAAAAACCAAATAAGCAAGATGAAGTAAAATTTCACCTGCAAATACTTTCTGAACGTAACAGCTGTTATCTGATAGTACCCACAACAAGGTACTTGATGCTGGGTGTGTGTGCAGCTGTGGGGGAGGGACAGTAAAAGAGGCAAGAGAGCATGCAGGATAAGCAGCATCCACACAGACTGGACCAGAGTATAAGGAGGTATTGCTGAATTTATACCATTTTCTACAAATCCAAGGCAGTGAAATAACATAATCAGGAAGTAACTGCAAGAAATGGTTGTTTCTCCATATTAAGGTAAAGCAGCAGCAGCAGCACATCCCTGTTCTTGTTTCTTGTCAGTCCCATCAGACTCATCTTCTGATACAACACCTCCATTTCTCTCTTCATAATTTGAAAATGCTACAACCATGAAATGAGATGCTATGTTGTTTGAAAATACATTTGTGTGTTTGTATGTACCTGACTGCAGTGGTGCTGAAGGAGGCAGAGGAGCGGGTAGAGATGTAAGGATAGTGCTTGGTGTCCAGTTTATCGTCAATAGCATCCTGCAAGAGAACAAAAAAGAACAAAAATAAAACATATCCTTGTTAGCAATATTGTCTCTGTCTCTCACACGTACATGTACACACTTGAAATAGGCAAATTCACATCTCTTAGCAACTTCCACTGCAGAATTAGCTTCGCACAAATAAAGGGGCTTAATATATTCAGGGGTGCACATAAGTGGTCCGCAGGTGTGTCAAAATAAAAGCCGCGCACCAGATAAGAAGTTGCAATGCGCGGTTGCGTACATAAGATTTTCTGGAGGAGGACAGACATTTGTTTAGAACTCTTAAAGATGTCGAAGAAGCTCCTTTAAGCAATTACTTTGGTGTTCCTCCACCTCCACAGAAATGTCAGAAGGAGTCCGAACCGCAAAAGAAGCGCGTACTCTCGGAAAAGTGGTTCCAGGAGGTGAGCTGGGTTCAAACAAATGATGAACGCACAGAGATGTGGTGCAGAATATGCCGTGAAAATCCCACTCGAGTGGACAAAAACAGTGCCGTTTATATGTACGCAAACGCGCATTGCAACTTCTTATCTGGTGCGCGTCTTTTATTTTGACAGCGAACGCGCACCTGCGGACCACTTATGTGCACCCCTGAATATAGTAGATGACAACTAGGTGTTTGACTGAGACTGTTGTGGATGTATGAGAAGTGAAAAGTATGTAACAGCTACTTTTTAATACATAATTTAGTAATGACTGCATCTATAGTTGAGATGTTTTTGAAACTAAAATACTAAGACACTTCAATGCATCTGCCAGACAGCAGGTTATATAAAGCTCTTTAGTTTTCTTAACACATAATAAAATAAAATGCCTAGAAACACACCTCCATGATGTCCTTGATCAGTGGTGTCCAGCGGGACAGCTGATAGGTCTGCTCGCTCACACGCTCCTTCCTGTCGACCTTTTTCCCTCTGCGGAGGGTGGACTGAGAAAAGAAAGAATAGATGAGGAAGTGGAAATAAAAGACGCTTTCCTTGAGCACTCATTAAAAACAGCACAAACTGATCTGCTAGACGTTAGATAACGAAAGCTTAATGTCCTGATGCTACATGCTAGTCATCTTTCACTTTCTCTCAGAGCTGATGTGAACAGATCTCCAAATGCGTTCATAGATTCAGAGTAACGAATAGGTAACTAGTAGCTTTATTCTTGGATTGTATTAGAGTAGCTTTGCATGAGTCACAGGTCAGAATAATCTGCACTTATCTTAAAATGTCTACATTTAAAGACAGCTTTCATCTGATTGGCTACCCCCACAGAAACAGAGCTTAAATAGCAGGTTGGTGAGGCTTCTGTGCTCACAACCAAAACTTTGTGCTTGAGCTGACCATATTAGGAATATCTGCTCTCATCTGCTGAACAGCCAGAGGTGGAAGAACTGTATGAAACTGAGTGTTTAAAGCAGTCTGAAGCCTCAGCTATGAGCGATTCCTTGTACATATGTCGATCTCATTAAAACTTTAGCTACGTTTATTATGAGCATTCACACTTTAGGTAGCATTTATCTGACATAAAGTAGTGACAGCATTATAGCCCCTTTAAGCAATAAGCCAACACATGCAGCAGCAGCAGACTAACCAGGCTATTCCAGACAACCTTCTCCCGAGCCACACTTTCCAGTTCCTCCTAGGGGATCTCAAGACATTCAGAGGACAAACAAGATATATATTTTTCCAGTGTGTTCTGGGTCTGTCAGTTGAGCGTGCCCACCAAACCTCCACAGGGAGACGCCCAGGAGGCATCCTAACCAGGCCCAAACCACCTCAACCAGTTTCTTGGAACACACATGTGGCACAGAGCACAGCCTCTGCTCCACAATCCCTCCTGAGGTCTGAGCTTCTCAGCTGGGCTTATCTCAGTCACCCAGTGGAGGAAACTCAATCCACAATCTTACTCTTTCAATCATTACCCATACTTCATGACCACAGCTGAGGGTTGGATCTCTCAACACAGCAGGTCACTGCAAGCCCCATTACTGCTGACACAGCACCAACTCACATTCCAGCTTCCCGTCATTCCTGCATAAAAGCCCATGATACTTGAATTCCCTTCCTGGAGGTAGCCCCCCACTCCCAAACGACTGACGACACCTTGAGAGCTCCTCCATGAAAATCAAAAACAGGTTTGAAGATAAGGAGCAACCCTGATGTTGTCAAACACCTATTGAAAAGTGTACCGCCTGAAGCCCCATCAAACAGTGCTGCAGTACAGTGGAAATAACCTGGATTCAAAACGTGACAACATAAGAAATTGCATTTGAGATGTCCCCAAAATGTGTCACGCTGTGATTTCTGTGTTGGTTAAGGGTCAGTGATACAGACACAATGATACACAATCACCCACCAGTTATATAAGTAACCAAATTAACAATTTAATGTAAATAAAGAAAAGCCTAAATACAATATTTTCACAATTCTTTGTTAGCCTGCTTTATTTCACCCAACATCTATGAAGTGTGAAGTAGTTTGACTTCCAGCATCTTAGGCTTTTTTGTCCAAGGGTCAGACTGTCCAAAGGAAAAACATCACACAGTTTGTGCTTTAAAGTGAAACGACACAGACAGCTTCTCTGATGGGAAGACTTGTGCTGTGACAGATTACATAATATAAGCAAATTTCCATTACATTCTATTGGCGTTAATATTAAAAGGCAAAAACTACAATACAATTACTTAAAAATTAATTTAAGGAAAGTATTCAAACTTTAGTTTATAAGGAATTAGGAAAGGATGAGTAAGCTGATAATAAGGAGACACTCACATCTGTGATGATGGGGACGCCCAGGTGACCCATGTTGGTGATGATCTCACTGTCCTCGGGGGGAATCTGAGCATGCTGGATCAGCTTGTTGAGGTTCTCCTCCGTAATGCCTAAGCACACAAATATACACAAAATATTAACAAGATTTGTAAAACAAAGATTGTTTGTTTTGATATCACCAAGTTCCTGCACATTGCTTCAGTAAAACAACCCATAACATTGTTGCATTCATTTTTCTTTTGTATTTTAAATGTTAAATGACAATTAAAAATATTTAATAACGCCACATTTTCATGGCCCACTCACTCACATTAAATAACACACAAGAATGAGCGTACTCTACTTCCCTTAGGCTACGTTCACACTGCAGGCGAAAGCGCATCAAATCCGATTTTTTTGGCCCTATGCGACCCATATCTGATCATGGTATGACAGTGTGAACGGCACAAATCCAATATTTTCAAATCCGATCCGGGTCACTTTCATATGTGTTACTGAATCAGATACATATCTGATGTTTTAGAAAGCGACTGCTGTTTGAACGGTCAAGTCGCATTAAATCCGTCTTTTACGCCACTGACACAAGACAGACGCCAATTATCAGTGTCGGAGAAGCGCCCGAGAAGACATCGCGAACGCTTCCTGGCCATCCGGTGAAACTGCTGGGGAAAAACGTTGGAGAAACGTGAATATTTTATTTGTACTGCATAATCTGCAGATTCTGACAGAAATCTGCAACTATCCTTTGAAGCACCGCTCCTCTCTGAAACAGCAAAAAGGATCATTATTAGGTTATTTACATTATTATGTAAATAACAAAATAACTTAAAGCAAAAATTGGGAAACATGAAGTCCGAAGTCTTTATATTAAGGGCCATCAGTCAAACAATATTGTTTGCTTTGTGTCTAAACAGAGCGCGTTGTGTGTGACCTCTTCTTTTGCGCATGCGGGCTGCTTTGAGCGTTCACACTAGAGCGCGTTTGCTGTCACATTTTATTTGTAGTGTGAACGAGCAGACAAAAAAATTGGATTTGATCAAAAAATTGGAATTGAGCATTAAGACCTGCAGTGTGAACGTAGCCTTAGATTCAAAATTCAAACATCAGCTAAAGCAACGGCAATTTCTACAGATGTATAAAAATGTTTAAGGCAATAATAATAACACTAACTTGTATAAACAGTTTACTAGAAAGTAAATAAATATTTCTGTCTTATTTTCATGTGATTTATATTCAGTCTGTCGCTTACCGTTCTTAAGGAAAATGTAAAGCAGGATGATGCGGATCTTGTCATATGTGCTGACATTGGCATCCAGCAGTATGGGCACAATGGCCCTCATGGGATCTTTGATCTTCTCTCCCTCAGCATCTGTGCCCATAGCCAGATCCTGCAACAGAAAACCTCTCGTTTACGTCTTACTTTAAAACCCCGATCGCTGCACTGTGCTCTTTGTCCTCGCCTCTGCTACTTCCACCTCCTATTCCCTCTGGTTTTCTCTCCTCGTCCCCTCTTTCTGCTTCCGTCTCACCTGTTCCACACGGCAAAGTTTGTCCACTGTTCCCTGGTAATGTTTCATGCAATCCTCAGCCAGCTGCAGGTGAGTGGAGTACTGAAAAAGACAAAACAGGTCAGCGTATACACACGCACACACAAAGAAAGGCATGCACAGACTCAAAAAACACACAAACCTTGCTGAGCTCCTTCTGGTACTGAGGCATCTTCTTCAGCATCTGGGAGAGATCCCTCATCGTGGTCTGTTGAAACAAAAACAACACTAAGTTACACGATTAATGTCCAATAAAGCGGCGATGACATAAACCACAGGACACCCCTAATGTTTTCACAAAACTTTACATTCATACTCATAGCATCACCTCCCTCCACAGAGTCGGCTTTACCTTCTCTCCGGTGTTCATCCTCTTGCTGGAAGAAAAGTCTTTCAGCTGGCGTGTCACTTCCCTAGTGACAAGAAGACAGTAACATATGAGAATTATTTAATTTGATATCAAAAGCCTGAGTGGAAAATAAAGAACAGAATGAAAAGTACTCACTGGGACACCTCGGCTATGTGTTTGTGTCTCAGGCTCACCCACAGGTCATCGTCTTCATGCAGAAGGACCTCTTTCTCACGTGAGTCTCCGATGCCGCTGGTCTCATATCTGGAGAAGAATCAACCAAACAGCAATGGCCAAATTGACAATAAAAGCAAATGATGCTCAAGTAAAATTTAAACAGCAGCGTTTGCTCATACTTGTAGACGTCATTTTCAATGGGCAGCAGGTCGTAGCCCATAGCCTGAAAGGTGAGCTCGTGCAGGACAGGTGAGACGGGGTCAAATCCCCGATCCAGAATGATCAGCTGTGAGCGAGCCTTATCCGGACCCTACAGAGGGAGACGCACAACAATTAGATAATCATGCATCCGGTCTCGTGTAGAATTCAGCCGTGCAACTGCAACTGCATGCATGATTATTTTGCATTACACACAAGTTTTGTGTGTAAACCTTTATATTCAGCCATGTGTTTTAAAAGCTTCTTTGTCCATTAATTTAAAAAGATTATTCTTTTTGATACAGCTTGTATTATTGTATTATTCAATAACAAAAACTCTACACATGAAGGTTTTAGTTCTACTTTTAAATCTTTCAGATTTTCAGAATGCACTTCTTAAAGGAGTAAAGCCTGGAGAGGATATTTTAGTGCAGTGGTTTCACTGATTACAGCAAACGGAGATCAAGTTAAGCTGTAACCTGATCTCATGGACAGCCCTGATACAGGTTAAAACAACGAGAATATGATGTGCTAAGTGAAAACAATAATAAGCAGGATATTTAAAGTGACAACATTTTGATTTCTCGTGAGCTCACCTCTCCCATGGTGGGGTCATCAGCCTTGTATGCATCAAGTTTGTCCTGAACCAGCTGGGCCAGGGTGGCGTTGTCCTTGTACTCCCTGTCAGACACGGGGAAGCGGGAGGGAAGATAAATAAAGGAAAACAAAGCATGACAGATGTAAAGACATTTTACGTTTTACAGCCGCCCCCTGTTTGCTCACCCTCGGTATCTGACAGCAGGATACTCTTTCAGGGTGGCACAGAGCGTCGCCAGCTGCTCGGCCAGCCTCTCCATCACTGGGTTCTTCAGCTGGGTCTTATGAGGGCTGTAGAAACTGTGAAAGGCATCTGGATTGTCCAGAGAATACACCTGCACACACAAATACAAGGAAATGTCGTTTTTTTTCTTCAGCTAACTGTGCTGACATGAGTGTTTCTAGCTTCTTGAACTAATTTGTCTGATATACTTTTTCCTAATGTGCATAAGAAGATTTTTTTTCCCTTCACTCCTAAGTGTGTCTTTGCTTCCCTCTCGGGCGTCTCTCCCTCACAGTAATGATGTGTGCAAGAGAGAGAGAGCAGCGAGGAAAAGCACAGCTGTGTTTCTTCATGCTAAGCTTCTCCAGAAACAACTTCCTTGAGAAGCATTAAACTGAACTGCATTTCCAAGACAGAGAGGGAGAAAGGACCCTTTTAACATCTGCGTGTGTGTTAATGCGTTTCAGCTGTTACACAAATCGACTGTTTGATCTCAGTTATCGCTTTCATGTTTTCTCCCTCTCTTTTTTCAGTCTCTACCATTTCATCCCCCTGCACTTTAATGTGTTCTCGACTCGATCTTCACCACATCATCCTACACCCTCTCTTTTGTCTTTTACTGTTCCATTATTTCACCTCCTCCCTCTGTCTCTTTTCGTTTCTATCCTCTTCCTCCTCTCTTTTCTCCTCTCCTGCATCACTACCACTCCCTTCTCCCAACCCATCTGTCCACAGTCACATGACCACACTCCTGCGCTGCAGAAGGGCCCCTGCCTCAGAACGGCCACCATTGGCTGCAGCCCACTGTGTGGATGTGAATCGCCCAATTGGGCAAGTCTGTGGGCGGGACTATGAGGCAGCATTTTTGCCTGAAGCAGAAAACCACTGACTCTGAATTAATCATAGTAGACAAGAGGGAAGCAAAGCATTGTGGGCCAAGAAGCATCTTTAGATTGTGAGAGCAAAGGACAGACAGAAAGAGAGAGATGCAGTAAATAGAGGGGTGGTTGCTGGAGGGAAAAATGGGGTAAAATGGTTGGAGAAAAGGATGGAGTAAATGCAAATGAGAGGGAAAAAGCAAAGATAAGAACGTGCACCTGACTTTAAAAAAAGAATCTAGAAAACAGAGAGAGGCAGAGAAGACGACAAGATGGAGGCAAAGGGTGGGGAAGCAGGTGGGAGGGAGAGAAATCAGTGTGATAAATGTGAGTCTTTCTGGAACAGTCTGGCAGTAAACAGCGAGTCTGGTGAGTCAGCAGCTTTGTGCCGAGTCTCCACCTGAGTGCGTTTCTCTGTCCTCTCGCTCTGCCTCTCTTTAGCCATCCTTGACTCTTCCGACCAATAACCTCGCTGTTACTATTCCTGTCCACATCCTTTGCAGCATTTCTCTCCTCCCACCTGTCTTAATCGATCTCTGCAGCTGCTCTTGCTCAAGCTTTCCATCTCTGGATCTTTCTCCCTCTCCTTCTCTCTCTCTGTTGTCACTAACAGACAATAAAACTCAGCTGGGTTTCAGTCATTGTGTAGGAAAGTGTGCTGTGAAATAGCACAAGAAGGCATTACTGGCACAAATCTTGATCTAAATTGATCGTTTATAAAGCCATGCATGTGCATGATTTCTTATATTATAACCTTAGTCACTGCAGATTTCAGTCCCTTTTGAAAAGCCTGATTTCTAGTCCTACACGTAGGTGTTAATGGATGCAGAGTCCCAGAACCATCTCTATAAATGGTAAACAAAAAGATTCATTAGCTATGTTGGACCAAAACCACTGGCTCTGGCGTTTTAGGCAATAGTTAAGGACAATAATGCATATTTATGGACTTTGAGTGGAAGTTTTTGTTCTGCACAGTTCTAAGAGTTTGAAAATGCAGATGTGCTTTAAAAAGCTAAACTGCAATTAGACAGCAGGATTGGGGATTTCTTTTCTTTTGCCCATCACATGGACTTTGTTACCCGAACTGCATGCTCAGGTGTGGCTGGTCAGACTGCATGTTAAGTCTGACTTCATTAACCATTTTCATGTCAAAAATGCTCTTTTAAGTCCCAAAGGCATACAAGCACAGAAGATACAAGAAACCATACAAACTGCTTCACGTCCAATAAACTGATGAGTTGACTGTTCTCCCGGGTGTTACAATAAAGCTTAACATCCAGGCATCCATTATAGTATCTTAAGATAATATTTTGATGATGATGCCATCAACATTTTTAGGGTTAGTGAAGCTACATGATATATCGTAATCTGCTACCTCATGGTTAGAACTATGGATAGGTTCATTTAAACACATTAGCATAGAGAAGATGTCGGAAGAGGGTTCTTAAAAGACCATTCAGGGACAAGCACAGAGAAATGCTGTCATATTGCCCCAAGAAGTAACCAGAAATGGACAAAGCTTCAGCCAAGTGAACGTCTGAGATGATCACATCGCAACGCGAGGTCAGTCATCAATATCTTGCTGCAACGTTTGAATTACTTGCTATGAAAAGCTCCTGATGAGCTGTCTGTATCCTTCAGCAGCAGAGAATGATGTCTTAATAGTTATTGATGCGATTGTGTCTATTCAAGACAAGAGGCTCCTCCAATGCAGGACACAGTTGAAGTTGAAATCAGGGTCATCATCATTTAACAAGTGGGCACAACTTTAATACTGATTATACGTATTGGTATGCAGAATCTTTTTGTAGAGATTAAACATGCTTTTCTGCATTTCATTGTGCACCATCACCATGCAGGGCTGCACAGTATGTTTACCTGAGACTCGTAGGGCAAGAAGGCGATGTTGATCTCCGTCAGAGTCTTGACGACTTTGGAAGCCCGGCTCTTCACCAGCTCATTAAAGAGAGGATCGGGGCATGCTGGAAAATATCACATGATGCTTAGTTTCAGTCACATTCACAGACAAATACACTTAAACACCAGAGTTTGAATCGACCTATGATGTCTCTAAAAGATCATCTTTGACTAAACTTCTTCATATTACTTTGACAGAGTGCTTCAATGGAAGCTCGTCCTTCATTTAACATGATGCAGCTTTAGATTCTTCCACTATAAAGACACCTCTAAGGCCAAGGTGACTCTGTTAAAGGGAAACTGCAACATCGTAGCCACTCAGTCTCTTATTATGAAGCTGTAACCCCCTGTAATAGTGCAGGGATAAAGCATATTTAAAGAAAAATAACTACTTTTGTATAGTTCTACTTAATTTGTCTACAAAACACTTTAAATTAGGGGAATATTTGATTATTAGTACAAAAAGATCCTCTCTTACTTGACCTAATAAAACCAGTTCACATGTGTTTCAAAACAAGAAGACAATAGGTGACTATAAGAACTTTGAGGAAACTGTGGGATTAGACGTTGTAACAACATCAATGAGAGCATTCGTTTTCGTATCTAGGAAAGAAAAAATTACAACAATTAAAAAACCCTCAACATCCAAAACAGTCTTGTTTAGCAGCATCAACACTATATCAAATAGAAGGTTGTCTGTAAAGTCCTTGTGTGTACTCACAGTCAGTGAAGAAAACATGGGCTGCCTTGTATTTAGATGAATGAGGGTCTTTGAAGTCTGCAATGACGGTGTGGACAGACTGAAGAGAGAGAAACAGGTTAAATGTGTTGCGATGAAAGTTCTGTATTTTAATCTTCAAGATAAGGTGAAGCAAGGATAATCCTTACAATATGTGCATTTTGTAATGTGAGCTTCTCTGATCAATATTTTGGTAGCTAGTCAAGCGGCAAGTAGAGGTTAGTGCGTGTCAGTCTTTCCCTTTCAAACCATGAGCTGCGTTTACATTCTCCAGCGTCCCAGAGTCCGCACTGGCCTGGCCTTCCTGCCTTGGAGAACCCTACCACATGTTACATTTTGAATATTCACTTTCATTTTCCCAAACCATTTGTTAATTTGTGAAGTTATTTTAGTGTAAAAGTATAAGATTGAAATTCATGAATCTAAGGAGCGTGGAAAGAAAAGCGACTGGACTTTTTTATGTTTCTTGAAGACGTTTCAGCTCTCATCCGAGAAGCTTCCTCACTTCTAAGAGAAATGAATGATTTTTTTTTCTCCAAGAAAAATTCATCCATCTATCGCTGCTAAAGTATGCTGATTCTGATTCCAATTATCCCAGTCCGGGTTGCAGGGGCAGCAGTCTGCGCCAAGATGCCTACATCT